CGTTGGCCAAGTAACGAAATATGAATGTTTAAGTTGGATTTGTGGTCGATATAATTTTCGAGGAGATATCATTTTGTAAAATTATTCCTTGTTTAAATATTTATTTGGAATCATCAGATGTTCCTTCTCATACTCTATACTTTCGTTCCAAAATTACTCAGAGATACAATACGGTTCACTGAAAAGATTCGTCGAAAGTAATAATACCGTTAACGGTGGTAATAAGACGTTTTATATACACCGCCGAAATTCCAAACTTTTTCAATACCCTTCTCCTCCCAAACTATCCCTTTTCAAACGTTTACAAGCCGGAAGGGCTTGTAACGAACAAGCTATATCCAGTCGCGTCGAATTAGGCGGGAGAAGGATAGAAAAGTCGTCTAAGCACACGTGTTTCCACCTTCGACGGCGCTCTCTCTCTCTCTCTCTCTCTCTCTCTCCTCTCGACGTCGGCGTCGGCCACGAGAGGGTCTACGAAAATAAGTCGCGTCGCGCCCCGGCAATTACGCTAGGACGACTCGCTCGACTTTTAATTTCCCCTCCCTCCTCCCCTCGCAGAAACGCGCAGAGGGAATCTTTTCGCCTTTTCCGCGAATTCGCGCGCAAATTTACGCGAGATGGAAAACGGGTGCACTTTGAGCGGCACGCGCGCCACTTCCTTCTCCTCTTCCTCGTAAATTCAACCTCCGGCGAGGGTGGGGGTGGAGAGCGTTTTCCCGCCGCGGGAAAAAAGTCGACGCGAGTTTTCTCGAGCGAACTCGAGTTCTCGCCGCCACTTGACGACCTGCCATTAGTCGCGCGGGAAACCTTGGCTGCGAATAATACGCTAATTCTAGCGTGTTCCCTTGAACGCGGCTAGTTGCAAAGTCTGTTCGTGGAGCGAACGATGGTGTTTTCCCCGCATTCGAAAATCGACTCGAACAGAAGAGGAGAAATTATATTGGATTCGTAGTTGGTCGAAAAGATTGGCGCGCGTCTCGTTTTTCGAATTCATAGAGGGAGGGGTTAAAACAACGCTCTTTCTGTGTAGTAGATTGAAATGATTTTTAACCCTTTGCGCTCGTATGTCGCTATCCTACATTTTATTATTATAAATACATATATTTACATCGGTATATTTATATATTTTATTTCTCAAATTTTTTTTATTAAAACGGCAAGTTAATACAGTCCCAGAGAAATGCTTCCATTTTGATCGAATATGAGAAAAAATTCCGAGTTGATTGGTAACCTTCTTAAATACAAATACGAGTGCAAAGGGTTAAAACTTAATTTGTTTTTTGAGAATTTGTCCGAAAATTTGCAATGATTCTACGTACATACATTGAGCTTCCACAGACATTCCTCACATCGAGATATATACAAATAAATAAAAAAGATGTAATTCCACGTGAATCGCACGGGTTATTTTAACCCCTCTTCACCGATCCAGGTTAAATTTACCTGCTCGCATTCCGAGACTCTCAGCCTCTGCCTACTCTCCACTTAATGAAACCAATGTATCGGGGAGAATAAAAGTTTCGCAAAACTTGGAGGGGTAGTTTCAGCCGCAACGAGCATACGGTCCGTCCCCCATCCTGGTACATTGGAAGTTTCATCGGGAATTGGAATTATCGGGTCGGAAAACGTCCACCGGTTATATCATATATTTTTTTCCTCTCTCTCTCTCTCTCTCTCT